TTTAGTAGAGACGGGGTTTCACCATGTTGACCAGGATGGTCTCGATCTCTTGACCTCGTGATCCACCCGCCTCGGCCTCCCAAAGTGCTGGGATTACAGGCTTGAGCCACCACGCCCGGCTATATTGCTATCTTACAAGCAAAATGATCTGAAGAAATCAGAGACCAGATAAATAGGGCCATGCTTTACCATATATCATTTTCACTCAGTTATGATCTTTGGGCCACTTTTTAATAGGATAGCTTTAGCTGAAGACAATATAAATAAACATCACTTGTAAAATCTTATTAAATATTGTATCAAGTGGTACCAATCCACACTCTAGTTAACTAATGTCATTTCATAAAGAAAAACCTTGAAAAATAAATCCAACCAAAGAAAAAATAGTTTGAAAATGGAACTATAATCACAAGAGAAAATTTGGGTATGCAGGGGAAAATCCCTCTCCTTCTTTGGTATACCACTTCAAAACTCTCCAAGGCCTGAAAAGTTTCTCTTAAACTCTATAAATTCATTTAAAGTTTTTATCACTGTATATGCCTCTTCTTATATTCTTATCCTCAAGGTAAGTATAAGTCTAAGAAAGTCTTGCTGGAGAAAGGCCCACTGAAGTCTATCTTACCATTACAATACTCCAGCTCAATCAGCAGAGTGGTATTGTCCATGAAATGATTGTAATAGGCAATAATGTTGTCATGCTGCAGCAGTGCCAGAATAACAATCTCATTCAAGGCATCACGACGTTCCTTCTCAGATAGCCGGGTCAAATCAACTTCCTTCCACACAACCAGTGAGTCATCCTACAACACAGTAAGAGGTATTGTGCTTTCCTCTTGCCTGACAGCAAATGAATCCATACCTACATCTGAAAGCCTAGAAGGAAAACTTCCTAGAGGGGCAGAGACTGACTCCTATTTTTTCCTTTTAACAGACTTTAAAGGTTATATGTAGAATTTAGCACTATAAGTTATTTCAGGACAGGGGAAGTAAAGCATTAATATGTTGTTGCTCTAACACTTAATTTGCATGATGTCAGTTCCAGGTAAAAATATGGATTAGGGATAGATCTCAAAAAGATTCTACTGAGGACACTACGACAGACTGCTAATCATGATGGTGATTATGGCAGGGCAAGAATACTGGAGAAGTAGAGAATGGCGAGCAATTATCTATGGCTGATCACAGTTTCCTCTAAAATGAAAATACTAAACTTCCCCTAGTTTTATAAATTTAGACTTCCCTAGTGATTTTCACTTACCCTTTCTGCTAAGAATAAGTCATGCCCCCTTTTGCAACTCTATAATCTCCTATCACACTTTTATGTATCACATTTTCTTCTATTCCTGAAAACTTACTTGTAGCTCCTAATGTCTACTATCCTTTTATTTATTATTTTTGTTTTTTAGAGATAAGGTCTCACTCTGTTGTCCAAACTAGAGTGCAGTCAAAGCTCGCATCAGCTCTCAACTCCTGGGCTGAAGCAATTCTCCCACCTTGGCCTTCCCGGTAGTTAGAACTACAGGCACGCACTGCCACACTCAGCTAAATTTTTTTTTAAGAGATGGGGTATGGCTGGGCACAGTGGCTCATGCCTGTAATCCCAGCACTTTGGGAGGCCGAGGCAGGCAGATCACAAGGTCAAGAGATCAAGACCATACTGGCCAACATGGTAAAACCCCGTCTCTACTAAAAACACAAAAATTAGCTGGACGTGGTGGCGAGTACCTGTAGTTCCAGCTACTCAGGAGGCTGAGGCAGGAGAATTGCTTGAACCCGGGAGGTGGAGGTTGCAGTGAGCCAAGATCGTGCCAGTGCACTCCAGCCTGGCGCCTGACGACGGAGTGAGACTCTGTTTCAAAAACAGAAAAAAAAAAAAAAAAAGAGAGAGAGATGGGGTATCACTGTATTGCCCAGGCTGGTCTAGAACTCCTGGCCTCAAGTGACTCGACCACCTTGGCCTTCCAAGTGTTGGGATTACAGGCATGAGCCACTGTGTCTGGCCTCATTCTTTGCTGACACTGCTTCCTAGCCCAGGAGCATCTCCACCTATATAACTCTCCCTATCCTTTCTAATGCCTCTGCCAAGCCTTTACATTGTTTTTGAAAAGACTCTGATGAACCTTTTACTGTATTTCCCATGCATAAATCCTGTAGGATAAGCGCTGATGGTTATGCCTTTCACTTTTAGACCTCACACACTGAAATGCTATTTGTCCATTCTTTTCATATCTCCACATGTGCAACTTAATGCTCTTTGTTTACTAACAATGGCTAATTTATTTTCCTATTGAAATATAAGCTTCTAGAGGAAAAGGGTGCTTCTGAACTTCTGTAAATTCACAGATCTAATAAATATTTGGTGATACGGATAACACTATGCAATTTTTAGGAAGTGTAATCAGACTTAACTCAAAACAAACCCAGTAATCAAGTTCAACAGGATAATAAAAAGGAAATGGGCAAGGAGATTTAAGACTTTAGTTCTAGTCCAAGATTTACTTGTAACTTAAGTGAGCAAGTCACTTAAATATACTGTCTTGGTTTCTCCAACTAAAATATAGGAGTAACAGTCCTTATCTCCTCTTTCTCATTTTGAGTGCAAAAAAGAAAACAGACTACTAAGAATAACTAACTCTAACATCATACATTAATGTGGCATCAGGATAAAAAAGAACACTTAAAAATATTCTCTTGCAACCACTTCTCTCCTCCAACGTTCAGCCTTAAAAGTATGCTGACTTGCAACACACCCCAGACCTGCAGATGGATTTCTGATGCATGAATGACCTTCAGCAACCCCAGTAAGTTCTCATTAAATATTTACCCTAAAGTAAGATTTTAGTGATCAAATCCAGTGTACTGTTAGTTTTTGGAAGTAGAATCATCACTGCAGAGTTTTGCACTAGTATATATTCTTATCTTGGGATTCCGTGATCCATGGATCTCTCCAAAGGATGTGCATATGTGCAAACGTGATGGAGGGATTAAGATTACTTTGCTTATGTTAGGTTCTCAAAGGGGTCCTTGTGCCCCCCCCAAATTAAGAACAAATGGCTTAGAATATGCCAACCAAGTATTTCACATGCATAAACCCTGTGGGATAAACACTGATGAAGAACCAACACACAAAGATCTTCCCAATGAGCTTCAAAAAAAGCTTCCAATTGAGTGATCACTGCTGAACTTAAAGATAATGACAAAAATAACGGAGATGCCACTGGTGTGGGAATTTTGAAGCTATGCCCCTCCTCTCCACCCCGACCTTGGAGAGCTATATATATACTGCATGAGAGGAAGGAAGTTTTGGTAATAGCTCACATTCGTATACCATTTTAATTTACAGAACAAGCGCCTTCGTTTGATTCTTAAGATAATCTTTAACAAAAAAAGATGATTTCAAGGTATTATCACTAAGCCATTTTACAGATGGGGAAACTAAAGCTCAGAGACAGTTCGGTGACTTAGGTCAATCAAAAATGACTAGTTAATAAAACCAACGATCTAACCAATTTCTAGTGCCGGTGAGTGGGCAAAATGGTGAAGACCCTGAGACATATACCCTGTGGGAGCCTAAAGGACTAAGCTCACTACGCGGGGAAAGCGGGACCGGGAAGGAGGGGCTTGGGGCGACCCGGCAGCGCCAGGCTAGGCGGCCGGTGCCTAGGGCCGCTACCTCGGTGCGGCGGTACAGCGTGGCTTCCCCGAAGGCGCCGCGGCCCAGGACGCGGATGGGGATGTAGTGCAGCTCCTCCTGCTCCGCCGCGCTGCTGCCGGCTCGCGGCCCCTGACTGGCGCTAGGCCCCGGACTCGAGACCCCGCAACCCCCGGACTCGCTCCCAAAGTCCGAGTTGATGGAATCGCAGTGTCGCTCGTACTCGCCCAGCACCGACATGGCGGCGGCCGCGAGCCTACGGGACCGGCCTGCCTATGCCCGGCGGCGCTGGCCGCGCTGCGCCCAGTTCGCTTCAGACACCGGCCCGCGGATCCGTCAGCCCAGCAACCCCGCGAGGCCCCATGGTGGCTCCTGCCCCCTGACCCGGAAGCAGTTCTCTGTGTTTCCGGCCCGGCTGAGTTTTCTCCGCCTTTGCCTTCTCGCTTGGCTCGTCTAACGGCCAAGGCTTCCAGATTTCGGGCCCGGCCTGCAAAGTGAGGCCTCAGGCTGGGGTTGGCGGGCCCGTGGTGGGAACCGCGTGGAACCGAAGAGCTCCCACGGGAACAAGGGCATCACTGACGGTACGACCTCACGGGTCTATTGACCCTCCTCGACCTCCCTGGTCCGATACCCATACAACTTCGATTTCCAGAGGTCGTCCAGCCTATTTTGGCGTCAGGCCTGTCTCAGGAGGGTGATTGGGGAAGCAGCCTCAGTGTACACCTTATTCCCCCTTCCAACGTTGGACAGCATTCTTGTTTAGAGAGATAGTATAGTAAAGATAATGTGGCGGATCAGGGTGGCTCACGCCTGTACTGTAATCCCAGCACTTTAGGAGGCCGACGTCAGGCGTTTGAGACCAGCCTGGCCAACCTGGTGAAACCCCATCTCTATAAAAATACAAAAATTAGCCGGGCGTGGTGGTAGGCACCTGTAATTCCAGCTACTTGAGAGGCTGAGGCAGGAGAATCACTTGAACCCCGGAGGCGGAGGTTGCAGTGAGCTAAGATCGCGCCTCTGCATTCCAGCCTGGGCAACAGAGTGAGACTCCGTCTCAAAAGAAAAAAAAAAGATAATATAGGCAGCCTAAATGTCTGCCTGTTATCTTGGTCCCTGGGCCCAGTTCTTTCTCCCAGAGCCATCCTAAGTCCCTCCCTCTTCTACGCAACTCCAAAAATATTGTAAGTCAACTCTCCTGACACTTTCCTTTTCCCCCTTCTCTTTCTCCCGATTCAATTTCTTCTATATGTTTTTCTCTGTCTTTGACCATATGCTCTCATGAAACATTTTTTGAGCACTCGGTGCCACACACTGTTTGGAAGCAGGAAATCTGCAATAACATGCTCCCAGCCATCAAGTAGGAAAACATCAATACAATGAACAATAGGTGTTTCATCAGTTATGTGACCTTCGGCAACTTTACATCTCCAAGCTTGTTTTTTTAACTCTATAAAGTTGTGAGAATATGGTCTGTATCACAGAGATAACTAATATTTATTGTTATGTTCTGGATATTATGCTAAAAGTTTTTCATGTATTATTCCACACATTATTATATATTGTCCTATGTATTATCTTAACATTCCCATTTTACAGAAACAGGTACAGAGAGGCTAAGTAACCTGCTCAATGTGACCGACCTATTAAGAGGAGCTGGGAAGTTGAACCCAGCAATCTGGCTCCTGAGCCATGAAAAAGCTGGATGTGACGGGGCTGAGAAAGCCATGTGGCTAGCTGGGCGTGGTGGCTCATGCCTGTAATCCCAGCACTTTGGGAGGCTGAGGTGGGTCGATCACTTGTGAAACCTGGAGTTCGAGACCAGCCTGGCCAACATGGCGAAAATCCATTTCTACTAAAAATACAAAAATTAGCTGGGTGTGGTGGCACATGCCTGTAATCCCAGCAACTTGGGAGGCGGAGGCACGAGAATCGCTTGAACCCGGGAGGGGGAGGTTGCAGTGAGCCAAGATCATGCCACAGCACTCCAGCCTGGGTGACAGGGCAAGAACCTGTCTCAAATAAATAAATAAAAATAAATTGTCTTATATGGATTTGAGAAAAATTCCTACTTTAATAGAGCTTACAATCCATGTAACAGAAAACCACCAGGCAATTAAAACAGTTTGTATAAGGGCTATCAAAGTGCAAGATTCTAGAAAGGCATTTATGGGGGGTGTCTCTGTCCAAGCCAGACTTGCTATGTGAGTGCAAACTCCCTGGAGGAGTATACAAAATGTTAAATCCAATGGTGGCTAAACAAAGTAGAGAGATCATTCCAGATAGCGGCCATTCCATCCTCCTATAAATTAGAAGGCGTTTTGAGGACAGACATTGCCTGTTTATCTAGATAAACTCCAGAGTTTAGTTTGGCTTAAATCTGTTAATTCTATTAACTGTTAATTCTGTTATTCTCAGTTAACTTTGTTAAACAGAAAAGATGCTCAATAAAGTGTTTCTCAGTTGAATGAGAAAGAAAAATTACTTAAAATTGGGAATGTTGACTTCCAAAGAGGCTGAATAGATTTCAGCCTAAGCTTTAAAATTCATTTTTTCTGGCACATTTGCAAGGAGGAACCAGTTTTCTATAACTTGGTTGGCCTGAAACTGAATTGTTCTAATGATAATGCATAGATACTACAAGCTTAGAAGAAACATGACCTATTACAGAGCAGAGACATTCTTGCTGAATTCTTCATTATATTGGATGTAACTACAACAAATTGTCTTATCTTTGAATATTCATAAGTTCAAAAATAGTCAACATTTGTTCTAAAGGTATAAAGGTTTGTTATAAAGGTTTTTTTTTTTTTTTTTTTTGAGACAGAGTCTCACTGTGTCACCCAGGCTGGAGTGCAGTGGCGCAGATCTCTCAGCTCACTGCAACCTCCACCTCCTGGGTTCAAGTGATTCTCATGCCTCAGCCTCCTGAGTAGCTGGGATTACAGGCATTTGCAACCACACCCAGCAAATTTTTGTATTTCTAGTAGAGAGGGGATTTTGCCATGTTGGCCAGGCTGGTCTCAAACTCCTGACCTCAAGCGATTGGCCCACTAAAGTGTTGGGATTACAGGCATGAGCCACCGTGCATGGCCAAGGCATAAAATTTTAAAGCGCCTTTGGTTGAAACCAGACTATTTCCACGTTTTACTTTAACAAGTGAATGGTTAGAATGCTATATTGCAGAAGTTTCCAAATTTGTGAATGGCAAATTCCCAGGGGCCAAAGAGTTACTGTAAAGATGAAAGAATCTACCAAAGACCAACTAGAGTTTGTACCCTTCACTGTCTGCCACAATAGCCACTAGCTACATATAGCTACTGAACACTTGAACTGTGGCTAGTCTAATTTTAAGCTATAGATGTGGTATAGCTTAAAATGCACACTGGACTTCCAAGATTTTATATGAAAAATACAATGCAAAACATCACATTAACCATTTTTGTATTAACTATATGTTGAAATAATAGTGTTGGTGTATTAGGTTAAATATTCTATTATAAATAATTTTCAGCTGGGCGTGGTGGCTCACACCTGTAATCCCAGCACTTTGGGAGTCTGAGGCGAGTGGATCACGAGATCAGGAGATCGAGACCAGCCTGGCCAACATGGTGAAACCGTCTCTACTAAAAATACAAAAAGTAGCTGGGTGTGGTGGCATGTGCCTGTGATTCCAGCTACTCTGGAGGCTGAGGCAGGAGAATCACCTGAACCTAGGAGGCAGAGGTTGCAATGAGCTGAGATCATGCCACTGTACTCTAGCCTGGCGACAGAACTAGACTCTGTGTCAAAAAATAAATAATTTTACCTGTATTTTATTTATTTATTTTTGGAGACCCAGTTTTGCTCTTGTTGTCCAGGCAGGAGTGCCAATGGCATGATCTTGGCTCACTGCAATCTCCGCCTCCCAGGTTCAAGCGATTCTCCTGCCTCAGCCTCCTGAGTAGCTGAGATTACAGGCATGTGCCACCACACCCAGCTAATTTTGTATTTTTTTAGTTGAGATGGGGTTTCCTCCATGTTAGTCAGGCTCGTCTCAACCTCAGGTGATCTGTCCACCTTGGCCTGCCAAAGTGCTGGGATTACAGGCGTGAGTCACTGTGCCTGGCCAATTTTACCTGTTTTATACGTCTTTAACGTGATACTAGAAAATTTAAAATTATACATGCAGCTCACATTATATGAGACACCACTGCAACAAACTGAATAATTGATTTATAAAGCATGTATTGGGCTAGGTGAGGTGGCTCATGCCTGTAATCCTAGCACTTTGGGAGGCTGAAGTGGATCACTTGAAATGTCAGTTCAAAACCAGCCCAGCCAACATGGTAAAACCCTGTCTCTACTAAAAATACAAAAAAAAACTAGCGGGGCATGGTGGTGCATGCCTGTATTCCCAGCTACTCAGGAGGCTGAGGCATGAGAATCACTTGAACCTGAGAAGTGGAGATCGCACCACTGCACTCTAGCCTGGGTGACAGATCAAGACTCTTATCTCAAAAAAAAAGCATATACTACCACTTAAACAAGTTTAATACTACTGAAACTATTAATTTATAAGTTTTACTGAACTCATTATTTATACTCTCTAAAAGTAAGCATCAGTGAGAAAGAAAACTTTTTTTTTGGAGACACAGTCTTGCTCTGTCACCAGGCTGCAGTGCAGTGGCGTGATCTCGGCTCACTGCAACCTTCACCTCCTGCGTGTATTTTTAGTAGAGACAGGGTTTCGTCATCTTAGCCAGGCTGGTCTCAAAGAAAACATTTCTTTTTTTCTTTTTTGAGACAGAGTCTTGCTCTGTCGCCCAGCCTGGAGTGCAATGGCATGATCTTGGCTCACTGCAACTGCCGGCTTCCGGGTTCAAGTCATTGTCCTGCCTCAGGCTCCTGAGTAGCTGGGATTACAGGCACTCACCACCATACCCAGCTAATTTTTTGTATTTTTAGTAGAGACAGGGTTTCACCATGTTGGCCATGCTGGTCTCGAACTCCTGACCTCGTGATCCACCCACCTCAGCTCCCAAAGTGCTGGGACTATAGGCATGAGCCACTGCGCCCGGCCTGAAAACTTTTTTTTTTGTTTCTCTCTTGTTGCCTAGCCTGGAGCGCAATGGTGCGATCTCGGCTCATTGCACCTTCTACCTCCCAGGTTCAACTGATTCTCCTGCTTCAGCCTCCTAAGTAGCTGGGACTACAGGAGTGCGGCACCATACCCAGCTAATCTTTTGTATTTTTAGTAGAGACTAAGTTTCACCTTGTTAGTCAGGATGGCCTCGATCTCCTGACCTCATGATCCACCCACCTTGGCCTCCCAAAGTGCTGGGATTACAGGTGTGAGCCACCGTGCCCTGCCAACATTTTTGATATTAAAGCATTTATACCCAAATAATGGAAACCACTACTTTACAGACTATGGATTCATAATAAAGTTTGAGGGAGAATGCAGATAGGAGAAATAAGAGGCCAGTCAGTGAGTGTGCAAAGCACTTCATATTGGCTCTTGGAAAGCTTTGAAAAATGTTCAACTGTAAGTGAAAGGAGAGGAGAAAATGGCCTTTACCTCCTGGAGCGGGGCTTTGCATTGGATATGACAGGCCTAAAGTGAGTCCTGAGGGGTCATATATTAGGAGGGGTCTTTTAGGAATGGAAGGCAAGGGAGATGGCTCTCTGTAGGAATGATTCTATGTAGTAGCAATTTTAATTGCAAAAACCGCAATTACTTTTGCACCAACCTAATAGTAGCAGTTTCCAAAAGAGAGAAGATAAAGAGAATAAAATGCCTAGCTTACAGAACTGTATTTGGTCTGAAGATGCATAATGAAGGATTCTTAATTACGTGTAAAATGTACATGTATTACATATATAAAAATATGGTAATCTTTTATTAGCTCATATAGACTATAGAACTGCAGTAACTGAAGAATAACAATATTTTTTCTCTAATTCATCAGGTATAAATTGCCATAATTTAAAAGTGGAGAAATATGGGAGAATTATCACCAATCCACACATAGAAGTACTCAAGAGTAACAGAATGTACACCTAAAATGGTTTCTGCTAGCCTTTATTTGCGAAAATTTACACAAAACCCCCCAATCCAACATTTACAAGTGAATCTGTATAAATCCCACATGCCTCTTTCCCAAACAAATCGAAAAATGGCTTTATGACAGGGGTCCATGACAATGGTAAAACAAAGCTCACTTAAACTGCATCCTTCTCATTTATATTATACAGACCATTTTGGATAATATGCCCAAAAACGGAGGAAAGCAGATAACACCCATTTTTAAAGCTTATTTGCTCTTGTATTAGTCTTTTGTCAAAGTCAAATACTTTTACTTTTTGGATAAAACCAAAGTATAATATCAATTAACTTTTAAAACAAAAGCACAAAATGCCTCAGTTGATAGTTTTGGCATGAGTAAATGGAGGGGACATGAAAGAATGTCAGCTCCTACAAAGCTTAAGTTTAGGGTCACACTTGGGAACAAAAGCATCAACAAAATAAAATATTCTCTTTTCCTGTCTTTTCTTTGACATTTTGTCACATCTGAAGACCATAACTGAGTAGCTTTCATTGCTCCTAAAAAGGGGAAAGGCACCGTCAGAAATATGAAAGAAAATCTTGTTAGGCTAATGGTACATGATAGAATTTCACATTTAAAAGTTAAGGATGGAGGCTGGGCGTGGTAGCTCACGCCTGTAATCCAGCACTTTGGGAGCCAGAGGCGGGCGGATCACTTGAGGTGAAACCCTGTCTCTACTAAAAATACAAAAATTAGCCGGGTGTGGTGGCATGCACCTATAGTCCCAGCTACTTGGGAAGCTGAGGCAGGAGAATTGCTTAAACGTAGGACGTGGAGGTTGCAGTGGGCCGAGATCATTCTGTTGCACTCCAGCCTGGGCGTTGCAGCAAGACTCTGTCTCAAAAAAAAAGTCTGAGAATGGATCTTAGCCCACTTACTATTCTCTATTTGGATGCATCCTCTGTAACTTAGCATATGTAGTAGTACATACAGTTAGACTTTCTCAACATCTGCTGCCCCTGTGGTGAGGAACTGCAGCCAGGTTCTCAGAAGCAGTACCTACCAATTCTCAACAGCAGATGGCAATGTTGTACAAGTTAATGACAGAACTACTTTAATGCCACATAAAGTACAAGGAGTCAAAAGTGGGGGAAAAAAAAAAAAAAAAAGGCTTTGGGTTCATAGTGGCTGGAACATTAACAGAATATCCTGAGATTTTAACAACATAACTCACTCCCTCTTCCACCTTTGTACTTTATCCAGGTCAATACATCAGGGTTCAATTCCAATATTCTGCTTCTTTACTGCAAGATACATATAATTCTTGCCACTGTGATTAAACAGGCCCTGTAATAGCAGGGTTAAAAAGAGATTACAGAAAGGATAAACTCCTACCTACTTCTCTGGGAGATATGGGAAAGATTTCAAGTGACAGCATTTTTCATAACTTTATAAACATTTATATCCACATTTTCTCTTATTTACATGAGTTTTGGCCCTTTAGGCACCTCATACTCCTACAGTGATTATTGGCTTTGCTTTCATAACATGTATTTGTAAGTATTTATTCTCTTAATGGCCCTTCTAGATGTCTATTTTACATATCATATCTCTTAATTCTCTAGGTGGAACAGAGAAGGACAGGAATTAAGTAAGTGGCCATGCAAAATATTTGGAAATTTTACTTATTTTTCCTTGGTAGAAGTTATGTTAAAAATTCAAGCAACCACATATATAACAGGGGAGTTTTAGCTAGGATATATAAAAAACTCTCAAAACTCAATAGTAAAAAGAACAAATGATCTAAATAGAAAATAGACAAAAGACATGAACAGACATTTCACTGAGGGGGATATATAGATGGCATATGAGCACATGAAAAGATACTCAACATCATTAGCCATTGGAACATGTAAATTAAAACCATATGTGGCATCATTACATACATCTGTGTGAATGGTTAAGATAATAATACCAAATGCTGGTGAGGATGTGAAGAAACTATCAATCGTACATTGCTGTATGAATTGTTTGAGTGGCTGTATGTGAAAGATACAGCCAGTTTGGAAAAAGAGTAGGGTAGTTTCTTACAAAAATAAATGTGTTTACCACACAACCCAACAATTGCCCTTTTGAGCATTTATCCCAGAAATGAAAATGTATGTTCACATAAAAACCTGTACATGAATGTTCACAGCAGCTTTATTAGTAAGGGCAAAAAACTGAAAACAACTCTTATGTCTTTAGTGGGTGAATGGTTAAGCAAACTGTGGTACATCCATACCATGGAATACTACTCAGCAATCAAAAAGAACTGACCAGACTTCATCACAATCCAATATATGCATATAAGAAATCTGCACTTATACCCCCTAAATATATAAAACATTTTTTAAAAGAAAAAAAGGAACAAACTATTGATACATGCAACTTGGTTTCAAGAGAATTAAGTGACTGAAGAAAAATCAACCTTGTAAGATTACATTGTATATGATTCCATTCATACAACATTCTTGAAATGACAAAATTACAGAGATGGAGGCCAGAACAGTGGTAGCCACAGGTTGGGGTGAGGGGATAAGGGACGTGGCTGTGGCTGTAAAAGGGGAGCAAAAGGGATCTATGTGATAGAACTGTTCTGTCTTTTGTGATGGTGGTCACACGAATCTACATGTGATAAAATTGCACAGAACTAAATAAACATACATGAAAAAAGTTCAAGCAGTTGAGCACAAATATTTTAATTGCCTAAAATGACATTTTCTTTAAGAGTTATCTACAGTTCAAAGCTCACTTTTATGAGGTGTCACATCCATCACCATTTTAAGAGACATGAAGTCATGAAAAGATATCACCAGAAGTTAAGTAAACATTTCAGCTAAGGGTAAAGGGAAAGCTAAGGGTGTTTTCACAAGAAAACTGAAAGAGGGCAATCCGAATGAAGTCAACATGGTCACACAAAATCTTGGTAAAAGAAGTAAAATGGAAGCCCAAGCTGCTGAGCAAGTGGGAGAAGAAAAGAAAACATGGTTCAAACAGATCACACAAGGGAACCCAGGACAAATGCTGACTTTGGCATTATCTAGGTAACCCCTTTTTTTTTTGTCATAGGTAACTCTAATAATAGACCTATTGTTGCAAAACCAGTCCAAATCCTACCAAATTAAAAAGAAGTCCCTCATTGACTTGTTGGGTGTAGGTGGTACCCCATGTCCTCCCACACCAAAAGAGATCAGTTCTGGCAAGAAAGCTCCAACGTGCCTTGATGGTGCTATTGGTAGGATGCCTTAGGCCAGACACGTTCCAGCGATGTTCTGCTGGCTGAGGTACAAGTTGGGAGAAGAATGTGCCTCAGTCATTCATTACTCAATCAACTTCTTGGCCTTGAAGAAGCGTCGCAGGTAGAAGACCTGCCAGGTGGCTAGTCCAATGAGGCAGAACATTGAAAAGATGCTGAAGTATAGGACCCGAGTGTTTGTTGACTCTAAAAAAAAAAAAAAGCATTATAAACATAATGAAGTGAGCCTCCTCAGCTGGCTAAACAATGGCAGGGGAGGGAGGTAAAGGCAATTAATTAACTTCACTCTGTCCCTAGGTCTAATAGTAGGATTTCAGATAATTTCTTTTAAGTTCATTATCCTATATATAAATGTTGAAAATTACAAAGATTGATGCTATTTGATATGGGTATAGGCTAACAGGATGTTGTCAACTGCATTTATCACAGTAGAAATTTCTACTTTCTTGAAAATCTAACAAGGCTCATTTACCGTTAGACGCAGCAACAGTGAAGCAAGCAATTTCCCTTCCATTTACCTGTCTTGGCAAAACTGAGAAAAGGGTACACCAGAATTGAAAGTTTGGGGATGGTCTCATTTATGGGTTACTTAAGAGTCGCCTTCCCCCTCACCATTGGTATCACGCATCTCCTCTTCTCTCTTCTTCATGTAGGCAAAATCATTAACAATAGATTCTGAAAGATCTTCTAGGCGTCGCAGCTCCACCTCTAATGGTTTGAGCTTCTCAACTTTTGCAATCTGGAAAAGAATAAATATTTTCAGCTCCCTGAAAACACTGCTTCAGTCAAGAACATAAGGAAGGCAACGGAGGAGTCTTTTTTTTTTTGAGATGGAGTCTCGCTCTGTCGCCAGGCTGGAGTGCCATGTGTGATCTTGGCATACTGTAACCTCCGTCCGACTCCCTGGCTCAAGCCATTCTTCTGCCTCAGCCTCCCACGTAGCTGGGATTACAGGCACATACCACCATGCCCAGCTAATTTTTGTATTTTTAGTAGAGATGGGGTATCACCATGTTGGCTAGGATGGTCTCAATATCCTGACCTTGTGATCCACCTGCCTCAGACTCCCAAAGTGCTGGGATTACAGGTGTGAGCTACTATGCCCAGCTTAGGAGTCTTTTTTAAAGTTTCACCAGATTTAAATTTTTCCCTATCAATCATCCTAACATTTTAAAATTTGGGCTTCTTTCTTTCCCTATAGACTATATCTTTCCATTTCAGACCTTTTTTGATACTTTAATTTTGACTAAAATCTCTTTAGAAGTAATATAATAACAGTAGGCTATTAAGTAGGATATACTATTGTCTCAAAATTTTTTACTTTGTTTTGAGACAGGGTCTCACTCACTCTGTTGCCCAGGCTGGAGTGCAGTGGCACGATATCGGCTGATTGCAGGCTCAACCTCCTGGGCTCAAGCAATCATCCCGCTGCCTCAGCTTCCCCAGTAGCTGGGACCACAGTCATGTACTGCCACCCCCAGCTAATTTTTGTACTTTTTGTAGAGATGGGGTTTTGCCATATTGCCCAAGCTGGTCTCAAACTCCTAAGCTGAAGCAATCTGCCCATCTCGGCCTCCCAAAGTGTTGGGACTACAGGTGTGAGCCACCAGGCCCAGCTGATTTTGGACTTTAGTAAAGCACTTTACTTTGCCCTTCCATTCATGTGTAAGAAGTAAACAATATTATTAATATAATAAATTTGAGAATCATATTGGGTCAAACCTGATTTTAGAAGAAAAACCACTAAATTCATTAAACCTTTGACAGTACATAGGACTGACAGCATGTGTTATTTATTAAGCATGTGTTATTATAGCATTAAGGTAATAATTCAAAATACACAAGTAGAGAATTCTGGTTTGTTCCGATAAATCCTACAACAACTTTAAGGTTTAATATCAGAGCACAGATGTGAGAAAACTGCACTGAATTTTTCTTTTAGAAATAACACAGCCAATTATCAAAAGAAATCTCGAAGGGAATTCCCTGTATACTGAGGAATGAAGGATGTGAGAAAGAAATTAA